AATGTATTACTTTTGGTGAGGATGGGAATGAGCATAAGAAGTTAGGGAATGTCCTGACAAGGGTTATTGTTACAAAATGAGAAACAAAAGAAAAAAAATTCAGTTAAAAAAAAAAAGCCAAAACAATGATTCATCCTAAAAAGGTACTTGTTTCTATATCCCAGAAATTCACGTATGTTAAAAATGAATTGGAACTGTCTGAGAAACTTTGATTACATTTCACTTCAACTGGTAGAAATGATCACTTAATGAAATAGTCCTTTTCTATGATATAATTTGATATCTTTCTATAGGCATTTCTGTTTTGATGTTTGTTCCATTTGTTATTTACTAACAATATCTAACATTTGTGAGTTTTTCACAATTCAGGATTGCCAATAGATTGTTTCAAAATATACTCATTAAATTAGGAATACTGTTAGGTGTTTATTGCTCATATTCGTCTTTAATCTTTTCATATGGGACAAACAGGAGCAATTGGGTGTATTACACTTTATTTGTATTTTAATTTTTTTTAAAGCTTTATTTATTTTAGAGAGAAGAGAGTGTGCCAGCAGGGGGAGGGGAGGGGCGGAGGGAGAGAATCTTCAAGCAGACTCCCCAATGAGAGCAGGGCCCCAACATGGGCTTGATCTCAGTCCTCATGAGATCACAACTGAGAGTTGGGACACTCAACTGACTGAGCCATCCAGGTGCCCCTGTATTTTAATATTGGTGGCAATCTGTGAATCCAAGGAATAAAGTGCTTGGTTGTTCTACCAATAGACATATAAAACTTTTTAAGAAACACATGGCAAATTATTTACTTGTTTTTTTTCTTATTGGTCATTTTTTTAGTGTTAAAATTTTTCCTCAACAATTTTGGTTAAATGAATGGGTATTTTTAGATATTAAAATCAAAGCCTTAAATATTAATTTGCACTTTAGCAATTAATGTGTATGTCTTATTAACGCAAATGGCATGTTGCATTTAACTCTTACTGGAATTCAGAATTTAAAGTCACTTTTAAAAAAATAATTATTACTTTGATAATGTTTATTAGTGAGAGATGTGAATTTTGATGGAGTATGACTTCAAATGATAAGAAATCTTTGAAAATACTTGGTGAGAGAATTCTAAGATGCATTCAGGGGTACTTATATAAACTAAGTACTGATATAAACTAAGGGTACTGATATGTAAACTAAATATCAAACAATTTTATCTACTGTAACTATTTTTTATAAAGATAACACTATAAGTTAGACTTTTAAAGAATTACTTTCTGATCATTATTTTTATTTTTAAAAATTTTATTTATTTGACAGAGGGAGACAGCAAGAGAGGGAACACAAGCAGGGGGAGTGGGAGAGGGAGAAGCAGGCTTCCCACTGAGCAGGGAGCCCGATGTGGGGCTTGATCCCAGGACCCTGGGATCACAACCTGAGCTGAAGGCAGATGCTTAGTGACTGAGCCACCCAGGTGCCCCTGATCATTCTTTTAAATTCGAAGAAAATATATGAAAAATTTTACTTCTAACAGTTTCTCATGAATTTTTAAATGGGCCTTTATAATTGGCAATAGCAAGGTTTTCAACAATCATTTTGTAGACTTTTGCTGTCCAAGTGTTAGCCACTAGCCATATGTGACTCCTTGAATTTAAATTGATTAAAATTAAAATTTCAAAATCAGTTCCTCAGTCACATTAGCCACGTTACAAGTGCCCAGTAGCTGTATATGGCTCATGGCTGCTGTACTGGTAGTGCAGTTACAGATAATTCTAACATAAAATTCTACTAGACAGTACTGATCTAGATTGAAGTTTCAGTGTTTAATTATCTTTTAATGTTACTCTTGTTTTTCCAAATGTTTTGTTGTGGCAAAATACACATAACATAAAATTTATATCTTAATCATTTTTAAGTGGTACAATTCAGTGGCATTAAATACATTAATATTATTGTAAGTGGTACAGTTCAGTGGTATTAAATACATTAATAATTATTATACTATGGATTAGATACTATAATAATCTTATCTCTGTGGCATTTTTCATCTTGTAAAAATTGAAACTCTCTATGTATTAAATAATAACTCCCCATTCTTCCCTCCCCTCCAGCCCCTGGCAACCACCATTCCACTTTCTGTCTCTATGATTTTAACAACTCTTAAGTACCTCATGTAAGTGGAATCATGTAGTATTGGTCTTTTTAGTGACTGGCCTATTTCACTTAGACTAATATCTTCAAGTTCATCCATGTCATAGCATATTGCAGAATTTTCTTCTTTTTTCCAGCTGAATTAATAGTCCATTGTATGTGTATACATTTTACTTATCCATTTATGGGTCAGTGGTTAGTGGGGTTGCTCCCACAACTAGCTATTATGAACAATGCTGCTATGAACGTGGGTATACAGATATCTCTTTAAGAATGGATTATATGATAATTCTATTTTTAATTTTTTGAGGTACCACCATACTGCTTTCCAAAGCAGGTGTGCTGATTTACATTTCATCAACAGTGCACAGAGTTCCGATTTCTCTGCATCCTTGCAAACACTATTTTCTGTTTTTTTGTTTTGTTCATAGCCATCCTATTGGATGTGAGGTGGTATCTCATTGTGGTTTTGATTTTCATTTCCCTACTAATTAGTGATGTTTAGCATTTTTCTTTTGCTTATTAGTCATTTGTATATCTTTGTATATCTCATTTATTTATTTATACTATTGAGAGTGAGGGAGTGTGAGCCTGTAGGGGGGTGAGTGGAAGAGGAGAGAGAGAGAATCTTAAGCAGGCTCCATGCTCAGTGCAGAGCCTGATGTGGGGCTCGATCTCATGACCCTGAGATCATGACCTGAGCTGAAATCAAGAGTCAGTGACTTAACCGACTCAGCCACCCAGGTGCCCCTCTATATCTTATTTAAATCCTTCTTCAACATGAATGTGAACTTAAGAAACAGTTATAATAATATTAGTTTTTAGGGCATTAATTTTTTTTTTTAATGTATTAGTCTCTACATCATGTAAAAAACAGGAAGTGGAGTTACAACCCATTTTTATAATACTAGCTTTTATAATTGATCATGTATTAACCTTTATTGAGATCTTTATTTCTCCATAATGGATTCTGACACTATCTAGTGTCCTTTCCCCCCCCCCCCACTCTGTAGGATTCTCTTGATCGTTTCTTGTAGGACAAGTCTGGTGGTATCAGACTCCCCCAGCTTTTGTCTAGGACTGTCTTAATTTCTCCCACACTTTTGAAGGACAGTTTTGATGAACATAGGATTCTTGGTTGACAGTTTTTTTTTGTTTGTTTGTTTGGTCCTTTTAGCATTTTGAATATATTGATACACTGCCTTCTGGCCTCCAAAATTTCTGATGAGAGATCTGCTTGTAATCTTATTGATGATCCCTAGTATGTGACGATTCTGAATTTGTCTCTTTGTATTTTCAAGATTCTCTTTGTGTCTTTTTATTTGGAAAGTTTGATTATAATGCATCTTGATGTGGGACTCTTTGAATTTATCTTGCTTCGTATTTGTTGAGCTTCTTGGATTTTATATTATCTTCTTTCATCAAATTTAGGAAGTTTTCAGTCATTATTTCTTCAAACATTCTCTCTGCCCCTTTTTTCTTCTGGGCCTTCCACAGTGCAAATGTTGGTCCACTTGTTGATGTCCCACATGCCTCTTAGGATCTATTCATTTTTTTTCAAGTTTTTTTTTTTTTCCTGTTTGTTCCTCATACTTTGTAGTTTCCATTGTTCTTTCTTTCAAGTTTGCTGCTCAAATCTGTCCTTTTAATCCTTCTAGTAAATTTTCCATTTAGTTATTGTACTTTTCATCTCCAGAATTTCCTTTTGGTTTATTTTTAGGCTTTCTGTCTCTCTATTGATAATTCCATTTTGTTCATAAATTATTTTCTTGTCTTTCTCCACAATTTCTATTAGTTCATTGAGCATTTAAAAAATAATTCTTTGTCTTGCAGATCTGCCATCAGGTCTTTTTCCGGGACATTTTCTGTTAATTTTTCCCGCCTTTTAATGGACGATACTTTCCTTTTTCTTTATATACCTTGTGAGGTTTTTGTCAGAAACTGGACATTTGAATTTAATAATGTGGTAACTTTGGAAATGAGATTTTCTTCCATTCCCAACATTTGCTGTGTTTTGTTACTGTTTCTGTTTTTTGTTTGTGTTTGTTTTTGTTTTTGTTTTTTATTATAGTGTGCTGTCTCTGGCTGAGAATCAGACTAAGGTGTAAACTTTTCTGAGCCTTTCCCTGGGCAAGTGTGGTCATTTTCTAATTTTTCCTGTGTATGCCCTTATTTTTGAATGTCCACGTGTTTAATGTCTGGCTCCCAAAAGGGGGCAAAGAGAAAAATGAAGGTGGGGGATAATTTTAAGTTCTAGAAGTCATTTCAGGCCAAGGGGCAGCTCACTCACCTTTTTGTACTTCTGTGATCAGAGCACAGACACTCAATATTTGGAGGACATGGTTTATTTTACCCATTGTGGCTCCTAACAGCTATATGTAAGCTACTGCAAGAACATGTGCATGGCTGCCTGCCGTCTGGCTTGGTTGGAAAATGGGTAGCTTTGACTTTGCTGAGAGCTGAAATTGACTGAAATTAATGGCAGTTTACCTGTGCAAGTCTTTCCTTGGAAGTTGCAAGCCTTTACTAGACTCCAGAGTTCCGTAATAATTACATCAAACAGATTCTGCCAGTGCAGTTGTTTTCTAGGTGGAGAGACAGACTTCCATTGCTTTGGACTCCGCCATCAGTGCTGAATCTCTTATGTTGGTTCACTTAAACATGTAACATTATTGTATGTGGGTTTATGATACTTACAAGGATACAAGGAATTGCTTTATATATTTACTATTGTCATTCTTACAGGAGTGTACATTTTTATATATTCTTCACATATACCTGAATTTTGTATTAATAGAAACCATAGCTAATGCTAGACAATAAAAATAAATGTGTGAACTTACATTTTTTTCTTTATGTAGGCAGTGTTCAGAATGTGACCAGGCAGGGAGCAGTGATATGGAAGCAGACATGGCCATGGAAACCTTACCAGATGGGACCAAACGATCAAGGAGACAGATTAAGGAACCCGTGAAATTTGTTCCACAGGATATGCCTCCAGAACCCAAGAAGATTCCAATAAGAAACACGGTAATTTTTTCCCCATTTATCATAATCATCACAAATCTGAGGCCAAAATTTAAGAGGTGAGAAAGACTAAGGGTGAACATATATATACTCAGGAGTCAAAGAAAGAAACCAGTATGTTGCTATTGGTCATTCTTAAGAGTTTATTTTTACATTATGAAATACACCATACATGTGTGAGAATTTATGGTTTATGTATTCAACTTAAAGCATAATAACAACGAATGCCCACTGTATCCACCAACCTGCTTCAAAAATCGAACATTACCAAAGGCTTTGATATCCCCTGTGAATCCTTGGTAATCACATTCTCATCTATCGAACACAGAGGTTACCTCTATCTTCAACTTTATATTTCTCATTCTCTTCTTCTTTTTTTTTTATAATCTCCAATTGTGTGTACTCATAAGTAATATATAGTTTTGCAGTTTTTGAATTTTATATGAATGGAGTTAGACTTTTTCCTTTTGTTATTTGATACTTTAACCCATTGGTTTGATTCATAAATACTGATCTCTGTAGTTATCATTCATTTATAGTCACTAATGTATAGTTTTTAATTAAAAGAATAGATCATATATTTTATTCTGTAGATTGGCAGTTTTGTTTCCATCTTTTTCCTTTTGTAAACAACTCTGTTTTAAATATTTTTGTAGATGTCTCCTGCAGCATGGTAACAAGGAGTTAGGGTAAATACCAAGGTGTTCATTGGCTTAGTTATTGGTTTGTGCATCTTAAGTTTTGCTAGGTAATTCCATTGTGTTCCAAACCAGTTTACGCTCATAGCAATGAATGGTCTGTTGCTCTACAAACTTGTTGTGTCCAATATTTTAGTGCTGTCCAATGTGATACATGTAAAATAGTTTATCATTTTATTTTGCATTTCCTTCAGTATTAATGTCTTTGAATATCTGTTTATTTTTGGTAAGTTGTATTTTCTCTTCTAGGGAATGTAAATGCAATTCTTTTACAGTTTTTCTTTTTTTAAAGCCTTTTTTTTTTTTAAGATTTTATTTATTTACTTGACAGAGAGAGACAGTGAGAGAGGGAACACAAGCAGGGGGAGTGGGAGAGGAAGAAGCAGGCTTCCTGCCGAGTAGGGAACCCGGTACAGGGCTCGTTCCCAGGACCCTGGGATCATGACCTGAGCCAAAGGCAGATGCATAATGACTGAGCCACCCAGGCACCCCTCTTTTCCAGTTTTTCTATGAGATTGTTAGTTTCTCATTAAAAATTTTTTGACGTTAGAGTTTAAAGAATTTCTTCCAGGAGGCATTTATATTTGTTATTACCAAGTACCTGGGAGGTCTACCAACCTAAGACCATTTTAAATAAATTTTGTGTATGTGTCTTTTTCCATTACACAAGTGGTGTGAATTTCTGCCTCAAGCTCATGAAGGCTGGTCTGCAGTTACGAATTCTTAGCGGGGGGCATTTTTTACTTTCTTACCTTGAACCAAGGCAGACACTTTTCAAAAATCTGCCCCCCCCCGAAGGAGATGTATATATTTTTTGAATTAGTTGTCATCCTTTGTTTTGTTACCTGTTTATTTTTAGAGAGTTTTTGCTTTTTTCCTTGAAGTCACAGCTTTCTCAAAAATTTTCTTTAATCTGTAGTAGCCATATTTAATGTAATCAGTTAAGAGATCTTATTTAAGAGAAGTCACCTAGAGTACTTCATTCAGTTTTGTGTTATGGGCTTACTTGAAATTGATGACACAGATGTGGAAATTGTCTCTTAGATAATTTAAATAGTTGATTTTCAATACTCTAAATTGATCAACTTGAAATTGTTTTATTTATAATTCCCACTAGTTTAAAACATTTCTTTAGGCCTCACAAATACATCTTGTTTACAAATGAACTAAAGAGAATTTTCCTTAAGTAAGCCTGCTTATTTCTATTTCTAATATATTTTGTATAACTTCGATGCCAAGATCTTAGAGAAAAACTATTACTTCATGTGTCTGTGTCTGCAAAGATTATCCTTTTATGAAACATTTTCTTTCTTTATTGTTTAAAGAAATCTTTAGGACCAGTGTTGTTATTTTTAACTTTGAAGTTCTATATAGAAGTGAAATTTCATACCTATTATAGTGATACTTCTGTGCCCGTAATTTAATACTACTTGAGATGAAAGAGGATCTTATATTTTTCTAATTTACTTGTTTGCTCTTCCAGCCTAGAATTATAAGGAAGCTTTTGAGTTTTCTAATTTAGTCCAATTCTTCTAACCTTATTCCTTGTCTCTTGTTTTCTTGTGTAAAAGTCTTAGTCTTCTTATAGATATGGGTGGGTAAAACACAAAGAAGGATTTCATGGCCAGTAATTTTGGAAATACGGTATGATTATTTTCTCTCTCGGGGGGATTCAAATATATATTGAAGGTCTGAGAAACACTACTGTTTAGAAAAATGATTAACTTTTTTCCTAACTTATCAAAGAGCACTTTTTTCAAGACCCATTTTTTTATTGTACCGTAGAGTTCTGGGTGGTACCAGCTTTAGAAATGGTGTTCTAGAGGCCATGAATTACTTTCATCAGGATCATCTGGGGTGTTTGTTGGAATCTAGGTTTTGGACTCATCCTAGAGCTAATGAATTAAAATTAGGGGTTGGGTTGAGCAGACTTCTTAGGTGTTTTTCTTACATGCAGACTAAAGTTTGAAAATAACTATTTACATAATATTTATGATTATTACTTTTACTCTTTTCCTTCCTTCTTCCCTCCCTTCCCCCCATCAATCCATACAGCAATTCAGAAAACCTTTGATGAGCATGTTCAGTTGGTCAGGTACCTGATCGAGGAACGTAAGAATGAGACTCTCACTCTCAGAAGAGAGTGATTCAGTCATCTTGATCTTGATCTTACCATTTAGGCTGAGTTTCTCCTGTTATCTTAATTTTTTATCTTACCATTTCTGTTTCAACGTTGTATTAACATTTTAAATTGTTAGACAGTATGGTTAAAAATGAGGCAGTCTATTTTCTTTTCTTAGTATACTGTTAATTATGGGATTCCAGGTACCTAACTGCCAACTCATTTGTATAACCAAGTATATCTTTCACAACAAATAACTGATTTATCTCTCCCTTTGTTTAATTTTTTAATTGTTGTTCCTAGTATCTTCCTACTTACACTTTTTGTTTTGGTACATATATTACACTTTTGGATATTCTATCCTTAAATTTCTTATAATAATTCTTGCTTTTGTTAGTTTGTATTTTCCCTGCCATTATTGATCAAAGTTTACTTCATTTCACAATAGTCATAATGCTCTATCAAAATTTTAAAGAAAATTTACCTTTGTGATGTAGGGAGTTCATGACATATATCCTAAGCTTTAATTTCTCATTTCCAAATAATAATATCATTTAATAATACTGTTAAAATGATCATTTGTTCTACAACTTTTATCTATCGTTCTACAACTTATATCCTTTGAGTTATAGTACTAGCACAGTTTTTAGAAAAGTTTGGGCTATTTCATGCTAGTAAAAATGATTTTTCTCTTGTTTAAAAATCTATTTTGTGGGATATGTGAATTGGTATTCTGTTAGAATAATTTTATTTTTAAAATTCAGACTTTATAGTATAATTAAGTATGTAGCACTTTAATCTTTTTTTTTTTTTTGAAGGACTGTCTCTATAGAGTTGTCTCTAAGAACCATGAAAAATACAAAATGATCATGGCTGCCATAAATTGAAGTCCCATTTTTATTGAACATATTTTCTTCCCCCTGCTATTACTTTCTCACCTTGTATACTTTATGTCTTTATGTTTAAAAGTAATATAGTGGTAGTAAAGAAGCAAAGGAGGGAAGGAAGGGATTTACATGTTGGAATATTTGAATAAATCCTGGTATGTTGCTACTATTAATTTAACTTCTGTTTATCCATACTGCTAATAAACCCAACCATCCTATTATTTTGTCTTTCTTCCTACTACTTGATTGTTGGATATTTTAGTTCATTAGTTTCTTCAAAGGATAGTAAGTCAGAAGAGGAAATGAGGGATTAGTCTACCTTTATCTAAGATTGTTTAATAGTAATAATACCTAACATTTATTGAGGACTCATCATATGCCAGACACTGTACTAATCCTCTGGCCTACTCTCCCTTTAAAAAATAAGTTAGTATTTGACTATTATAACACATATTTTACTCAAAATGAAACAGACACAGAAAGCTTCAGTAACCTACCTATGATGTTACAGATAGTAAGCAGAATAGGGCTTAAATTCAGATAGCCTGAATTAATGACCTGGTTGTTGTTGTTGTTGTTGTTTTGTTTTTTTTAAGGTCTGTAAAAGAGATTTACTTGAGGTACAAATGAAGTTGTAAAACATTTGGTTTTTAGGTAGCATAGTTGGGAATGTGATACCAGAAGATTCGTGTGTCTTTCTGTAGCATAGTGTTATCTATAGTAAGGCGGTCACATACCCGCTTACTAACTTGCATACCTGAGTTTGTTCACATTAAACATAAGATTCAACACTCCTTTTCTTTGCACTTTCGGTTCAGTGTGAAATGTTTTTCCCCCCAGCTTGTGCAAGAGCACTGATGTCACTCCTTTCAATCACAGTGTAATAGTTTAAAAGTTAATTAGTAAAATGTTTGAAGGTTATTCTACCTTGAGGAAGTTGATACTAAAAAAAGAAAATAGAAGCAGCAAATCTGTAAGTACACTGACAGTATGTGTATATGTTAGCCACCAGTATATGTTTATTTTGCTATTCTGTATTGGTTTGCTTTTTTCCCTCTGAATTGTGAGTACTGTAAAACTTGTTGTAGAAAAAAAGAGTGCATGCTTTGGTATTGGCAATGAAGATGGAGAAGTACATAGTGGTTTTTGTTTCCTAACTAGTTACTCCAAATCTGCCTAAAACACTTGGCTTATTGCATCTCAGCTTTTTTGATTAAGCAACAGAAACCTTTTTGATTTGTTCATTTGATTTGATCAGTGTTAAGAGAAATGGGCCCATGGACTCAATTTTTGTGC